AAGAATAGTTACAGCAGCTGATGATATACATGAATGATTGTAAGAATACTAGTAGCATCCCTTTTGATCTGCATCCAGGGTTTGGGGATTCGGGTGGCAGGCCTTGCCTTGTTCTCAACTGCCTGCATCGACCGAAACATGGAGAAAGCCCATCATGGAATCAAATGAGGCTCCATTGGCTGCATCGATTTTACCATGGCCGCCAAAAAAACCCCATGGAATCAGATGAAGCGCCGAAACATGGGGCCCATGATACTGGGTCCCTGCTGCGCAAGCCTAGCAACATGGACGACCTTGAGCTTCTTCGAGTCAGAGGTGAAGCCCCTACATACTGACCAAGCTCGGATTGATGCGAAGCTCGTGCGACGGCTCGTCACCACCCAGTTCCCTGAGTGGAGCCATTTGCCCATCCGATTTTTTGATTCCTCCGGGACGAGTCACGCGATCTATCGTCTTGGTGACGAGCGCTGCTTGCGCCTGCCCTTGGCCGAGGCCACGCAGCTCCAGATGCAGAAGGAGTCTCAGTGGCTGGCGATGCTGGCACCCGACCTGCCGCTTAGCATACCCGTCCCGATCGCTGCCGGCCAAGCCACTGAGAGCTATCCCTATGAATGGGCGGTGTACCCGTGGCTGGCCGGGGAGGAGGCAACACTGGAGACTCTAGCCGATGAAGAGACCGGGGCAGCTGAACTCGCCCGCTTTGTGGCTGCACTAGAGAGCATCGATCCATCTGGGGGCCCGGAGCCGGGCGCTCACAACTTTTATCGGGGTGTTCCCCTCCGAGACAGAGACGAAGAGGTGCGAGAGGCACTCCTGCAGCTGGAGCAGCTGGAGACGGCCTCCTTTGAGACCAGCCTGGTTGCCCGCATTTGGGAAGACTCTTTGGCCGCTGACAAAGCCTTCACTCCTGTCTGGATTCACGGAGACTTGCACTCGGGGAACCTCTTGGCTGTAGATGGCCAGCTAAGGGCGGTCATTGACTTTGGCGGCTTGGGAGTCGGGGATCCAGCTTGTGATCTGCTGGTTGCCTGGTGGCTGTTCTCAAAGGCAGGGCGGAGAAGCTTCCGACGGGAGTTGAACGTAGACGATGCCTGTTGGCGACGCGGCCGGGGGTGGGCCCTTTCGATGGCGGTGATGGCTCTGCCCTATTACATGCAAAAGAACCCACGCTTTGCGGCTGTGGCAGAGCGTGCATTGAGGGAGGTGATTGCCGAGTTTGCGGGAGGGCAATAAGAGGGGAGGACAGGCAAAGAGACCCGAGCGACGGGCGCTCGGGAGTTTGCCATTTGATTGTACGACGACTTGCTTACACCCTGCCTCCAACCGTCCCACACCTGTGCTGGTTAAGATACGGCTTTCAGCCAACTGTTGCGCTTAACCAGCAGCTGTCAGCGCCGGGGTACGTGAGACCAGCGAAAACCAAGTGAGAGTTGCCCGGCCGCAGTTGCGAGTCTTCTCGGTTGCACTCCGGTCTCTTGCGATATGGAAGAACTCTGGTCCTGCACCAATACCACCCACCACTTTGTCAATGGCGGAAGTGAGGTGACGCCATCGAGAAATGCAAAATCCTCTAGCGAGCCGTTTCCTCCCGCATCGACGGCCCCGTTGGCTCCAAGTAGAGCCTGGTAGAGTGATGTGCTTCTCACGAAACAGGCGTATGCTGTTTGAGGTCCTAGGAACGTTAGGAATGTGGAGTCGCCAACTCCTCCGTTGTCAATGCTCTGAGCGGAGTCGCCGACTGTTGCTCAAGGAGAGAGCAAGCTCGTGCCTCTTTGAAACGCATGTGTTTGCATTGTCGGAGTAGCAGTGCTAGGCATGCTGTAAGTCAGTGCTTCACTGCATGGACCCCGCCGGTTAGTTTCGGTATGTACTTCCCAGTCTCTCAAGTCGCTGATTGCGTGTGTCAAGTTTGATGTTTCCATAGTTCGACTAGGGAGTAGACGAGGTCGTTTCTTGTTTAGAGAGGTCTTCGTGTAATGGTTCAGTTGTTGTATGCATGTCCAGCAAATTATCTTGAAGCCTTGCTGATATAACGAAGGTATATCATCGTGACATCGCACATGCTGCTGAACCCTGCTGAAAGACTCTACACTGCCACTGCAGACCGTTCCCCCGCGGCTTCGTTCGAACTTCGAAGAGCTCTGTTCTACAGCCTTGAGGGATTGTAAAGCTGGAAAGAATGCACTTTCGGGTCAGGAACCGCTTCCGTGGGACAGTGCTGAGATATTCGGAGTTGACCTTCCTTGGTGTTTTTTTGCTTGTTAGAGATGCCGATCTCTAGCCTGATGCGTTGCAGCACCACATCGCCAGGTCATCGAGCAATGACTTGGATTAGAGTCCGGGCCACAGTATTTTCGGTCCTCTGGTCGGCTTCTCAGCACGTCCAGCATGTGCGGCACATGCACCATGCTGAGGACGGCAAGCGTGTGAGCCGAACACGGGCCAACACCTGTCGACGAAAGAAAAAGGTGGATACTCTCGAAGAGGGCCTTCTGTGCGAAGCCACTGCTAGGTGACATATGTGACATGGGACTATATGGGACTTGTGCTGCTGCATGTTGTGTCAAGACGGTCCCAATGGTGGGCAAGCGCCGCTTACATCTGCCCATCAGGCACTCGGTGTGGCTGCTGGCTAATTGGCAAAACTGACCTCCAAGCCTAAGAACCATCCATAGCATCGGTCACGCCAAAGTTGTTTGAGACCCGACAACTGTGTTCGTTCGCTGGGGCCTCTGGCAGTTCTTGGCACCCATCCAACAGGCACCAGCAAGCACCCACAAGGGACCTCGTGTGGCACCTCGAAGTGCTCATGAGTTGCACCTTGCACCATCAGGTCTCGGGGTTAGTTCCGGTCCGCATGCGAACGTTAAGGTCTTGGGAACCTTGCCCTGACCTGGGGTCTAAACTCTTAAAGACTTCGCACCGCGAAACTCCAGGCCCTTCGGCAAAAAAAGCTTCCCATGCTCGGATGTTAGCGCCGAAGTCACAGGTGCGCTAGGGGCCGGAAGGTGATTGCTGTCCACAACGCGGACAAACCGAGGGGAGGGGGGGGGGTTGTTCAAAGCAATAGCAACATTCACGCTGGTCAAGTCTTTTCGGCTCCAATGGGGCTCACGCAAATGCAAAGAGCAGAAAGAGCAAAAGTGGAAGGAGATTCAAAAGAACTTGGAGCTATTCCGGAAGGACCCATCAGTGTTGAGTCGCGCCATTACCGTCTTGCCGTCTGCGTTTTATGATCCATGACCCCATTCGTCCGCCGCGCCGTGCGCAAGGGCCCTTTGCAGGAGAGCGGAGGCAGAGGCAGCAACTGTTGGACAATTCGTTGTTGCCTCCGCCGGAGGACAGCATGGTTCTCGGCAGCAGTCCGCTTTGCCAACGATCTTGCCGAAGCATTCGTGGTGGGGCGGCGCACGCGGGATTCATGGTCGGCTGCTCGAGTGCCGGCTAGGCATGTTCCATGCACGATTCCCGGCGGTTGTTGATACCTTGTGGTTTCCTTTGCTCCGTGGGATGGAGGGGGAGTACATTGCGCAGACTGTCGTTGGCGGCTCGAGTCTCGAAAGCACAGGCATCCTAGGCTCACAACATCTTCCAGCGCCCATGTACATATCAGGTGATGTCTCAGCTTTTGACAATTTGACATGTTTCCTTGACCGATGTCGCCGGGAGATGCCAGAAATCGAGGGGGGCCGGCTGCCTCAGAAAGTGAATGCCTTTTCCAGTGTTTCTCGCAGTGCCCATCTTGAACCCTACGAACCAAGGATTTGGAACCCGAAGTCCCAACACAACACCGAGGTTCTGTGGAGAGGCGGAGAAAGGATCCCGAGGGCAAGCGCACCGCCTCGCATCTCAAGGAGCTGGGCCTTGCGAGCGGGTGCCCAGTTTCCAGAAAGCAGCCTTGGAAATTGAACCGCTAAGCCCCAGGCCTGTGCACTCAGGTTGCCGCAGAACTTCTTCCAAGACTTCGAGGATCGCTGGCATTTCTTGCCGAGGGCTCGGATGCTCCACCACCACCATCACCTCGACGACGACGACAACAACAACAGTAACAACAGCAACGACAAGATCAACAGCAACGATGACGACTACTATTCTGGCAGCGACAATTACCACGCATGAACAAATGGATGGATGGATGGGTGGGTGGGTGGGTGGGTGGGTGGGTGGATGGATTGACGGATGGATGGACGGAGCGGGATGGACGGATGAATGGATGGATGGATGGACAGCCGGATAAATGGATAGGCAGATAGACAGACAGACGGATAGATGGATAGAAAGACGGATGGACGGATGGATGGATAGATAGATAGACGGATAGATACATAGATAGATAGATAGATAGATAGATAGATAGATAGATAGATCGAGAGATAGATAGCTAGCTAGCTAGATAGATAGATAGACAGATAGATAGATACAGTAGATAGATAGACAGAGTAGATAGATGATAGATAGATAGATAGATAGATAGATAGATAGACAGACAGATTGTCAGACAGACGGACAGACAGACAGAGAGATAGATCGATCGATAGGTACATTTAGATGACAGAACGACGGAACGATAGCTAGACAGATAATTAGACAGATATGTACATAGTGATAGAATGACAGATCGCTAGCTAGATAAATCGATAGATAGAAAGATATATAGGTAGATGGATAGATGGATCGACAGACAGATAGATCAATAGATAGATGGGTGGATGATTGCAAGACAGATAGATAGATAGATAGATAGATAGATGGATAGTTAGCCGGCTAGACAGAGGCTAGACAGATTGAGATAGACAGAAACGTACACGTATAGCATTGTCCGGGTGTCTGCAAAGAGCGTTTCAAGACTCGTGGTCAACGCAACGTCGGCGAGATTGGCGGGAAGTTTGGCAGTAGCTTTCGGTTTTGGCATTTCTTCCTTCTCAGGGTTTGTGTTCAGGGCATGTGCTCGGTGTGCAGAGCTTTGGTCGGGCTTTGGATTTTTCCCTGGCGTGGTTTGCATGGCGTGGGATGGGCCTTACAGTTTCAGGGTCTTTTCCTGTGCTGGGCTTGGGGTCTGTCCTGGGCTGGTGCCACATGTGAGGCCGGGTCCTGCCAAAGCCGCCGAGACGTTTCGCAGGCGGGAATGGTGTGTTGATGTCTCCTTGCGCTTGAGCACTGCTGCAGCTGACACAGCAGTAGAGGGGAACCCCTAGCTTGCCACTCCCTGCAGTGAAACACGCATTGAACGGTTCGGCAAGAAGCTCGCTGCAGACTGGATGTCCCGAGGAAATCTGAGGAAGCTTTGACAAACCAGACTTCCTTGCTTCGTTTTGCCAGGATATGGGGCTTCAAGTCTGTGCTCAAGCATGCAGTCCTGGGCGGTTTCAAGGCCTGAGCTCACGTGATCACTCCTCCGCTGTCCTTGGTTGCTCCGTGTGTCAGGCCTACGAGTTCGGAATCCCACGACCAACTTATGCCTGGCGCTCATGGTCACTGTGGCATCGCCAGGCTAAGTCCTAAACCACAGATGCCAAAGCTCCCTCTCTGAAGGATGCCGGTCCGGCAGATGATGCTGCCCGACATGCAAAGCGTGCGCCCGAACCTGAGAGACAAGAGAAGAAAAGGCCCTAAGGTTGCGACTCCCCCCCCAAAACCACCCCAACAAAACCCCAAGCTCTCAATAGTCGAAACCTCAGAGAAAACCCTAAGCCAAACACTTCCCAAGCCCCAAAACTCGCGGCGTGAGTCTCTCCTCGAGGCTGCGGCGGAACCTCACTCTGGTGCAGAACCATGTGCACCGTGGGGATGCCCTGCCGGGAGCCCCGATGCGAGGAGTTCCTGGATGCCTTCCGTTGAGAGCCGGGATTCCAGGTTGTCTCGCTACCTTCGGCAAGCTGCCCTCCTCTTCGGCCTGCCCGGAGGCACCGGAGCGTGGAGCGGGCAGGAGCGGGCACTGTGCTGTGAGCATTCTGCCGAAGTTCTCAGAGGCCTCAACTCCTACACCACGCCGGCGCTTGCCGTAGGTCTGGCCTGGGACTGTGTCGGCTAGGGGGTTCAGGGTCGAAGGTTCACGATCCACATAGGCAACAACCTGCCATTACCTGCGTTGTAAGCTTCAGAAAATCGCGCGAGCAGGTTTGGAAGCGCAGTCCAAGCATCACATGTTGAACGTGGCCTGGATGGGAGCAGGCTTCGGTTATCACTTCGATCCCAGTGACGCAATCATCCTCCAGGTTGAGGGCAACAAGCAGGGCCCTCAAACGCTTCAGTTCAGTTCCTTCTGCATGCTCTGGTTGTGAGCGAAAATCGTTGCAGCTTTTCCCAAAAGGACCTGGGAGATCTGTGGCCGCAGATTTCCAAATGCCTTCAGCTTTGCGAACCTCACCTACAACCAGGCGCCACCAACGGTCGGCTTCGCTCGGCATATGCTCCGTGTGCATGAATCTGTGCGCCATGGGTCCGTGAACAGCTGACACCTGCCTCTGTGATTCAGAACACACGAGCCAACAGTCTCTCGCAAGTCTTGCAGTGGGGGGAACCTTCAAGTGCAGCGCTTTTTTTCCGTGAACGAGCTCGCAGTGCAGATCCCCAACGATGCCGAAGACGTAGCAAACTGCAGCGAAGTCGCACGAAGCCCAGCCCAGCTGTTGTCGCGGCTGCTGCCGATCGAAGTGTCTCCAGAACCTGTCAGGGAGTGATTGCAGTGTAAGTTTAGCTGATTGTTTCAGAGTTCCAGGAAAGCCAGGGGAAGGGTTGCCCCACGGTGGGTCTCTCTTAGGTGCTCGGTGAGGGAGATGCTCTCTACCTGCCTGTGGGGCAGGCCTTCCTGCGGTCTTGAGAGCTTGCAGAGGTTGCGGAACCCGAATAGCACTGCAGGCGAACTGGCTGTCTAGTTCTCTAGTATCTGAGATCTTGTTGCAAAGAGCATAACTAAGATTGCGAGCATCTTCTCCGCCTTAGCAACCCCTTTTGTCTGTAAGAGGTCCACCGTGCTCAAGCGCCGGCGCCCCAGAAGTGCATGCACAGGGCAGCCTAGGGGCTTAGCGTCCAGCCCAGTAGTGATCTTCGTTGAAAAGCTGGTGCCACATACAACAGTTATACAAACCGAGGTATCATGAGGGATCCCTTTAGTGACCCGTAACACTTATGGTAACCTTATTGTAGCCTTACAGTAACCTTGCAGTCTTATCCTCCCCTTTATATTGTCCTGGGACACGACTAGGGCTGCTACACTTATGTTCAGGATGCTCCGCTTGCTCATCCACTTGTATGAGAGTTCACGGCATCACTGCTCGCCGCCCCTAACATAGAAGTTTCGGCTGCACAACAGTGCAGGCTTGAAAGCCTGACGACAACCCTGGATGCTTTCCACAAACCCTTGTGTTGAAGCCCAAAGCCCTTGGAAGGCCATGCCGCGCAAGAACCCCTTTTGGATAGCTTTCCTCTGCGGCTATGGCTATGATCAAGTCAGCCTTCCAACCACGACCTATCACTCGATTTTGCAAAGTCTGGCGCTTCGCCACTGGCTTGAGGGCTTGTACACACCGAGAGGAGCTGAGATTTACAGTGCAGGAACAAAGCTTTGTCCATCCACCTGACCATGTCGCTGAATCGGCAGCGTGGTCCTCGGCTGAAGCTCCGGCCTACGCCGCAGTCAGTGGGCATACGTGGGCATATGTAGCTCAGGTTTTGTAGTGCTACTGCGGTGCTCCTGAATGTGGCTGAGCAGCATCTCGTCTGCAAGAGACCTCGTAGTGGACCTTCGTCAGTTGCAGAAAAAGCTGTGAGGATCAACCCATCGAAAGAGTTTGGCTTCGCACGGTCCCTGGCCGATCTGTGCAGCAGTCTCTGTGCGTCGGCCCTGGAGACGTTTCGGAAGCCAAGGCGCAGCCCACCTTTGTCTCATGGGTGCATGCCACAGCGGCAGACCCCAGTGGCAGCCCGAGCCCGAAGCACGAAGAACTACTGTATTGTCGGGTATTGTACTACGCGAAGCTGAAGGTACACTATACAATACTGTACTAGGCTATACTACAACACTACTCTACGCTACTGTACTCTACCCATATAGTATAGTACAGTCTAGTCTAGTGCTTTATCGTATAGTATAGGATTCTATCGTATACGACTTGTGGGCTCCTACTCAAAGGTTCATGGGACTGAGGAAGGAGTTTGATAGCGGTTTTGACCCTGATAGTAGCCTAAACCCCTTAAAACCCTACGTCAACCCTAAACCCGAAGCTCTTGAAGCCCCAAACCTTAAACCACAACCGTCTAAGCCGACCCTAAACCCTAAACCCATCTGAGGGCGGTTTTTGGGGTCCCAGGCATGGCGGCCTTGCACGCCGTCCCCCAGTCGCTGCGCTGCCGCCCGCGAGGCCGGCTTCTTGAGCTTCTCCGAGCCCGCCGTGGGCTTGTTGGGTGACCTGTGCAGTTTAGGGTAGTATACCATGGTATGGCTTAGTGTGGTGTAGTATGGTATGGTATGGTATAGAATAGCATCTTGCACACATGATCATGGGACTGCAGAGCGGGGGTTGCAAATGAGATGACCAAAGCGGCAACCCAATTCAATCCAATTAGTCCTGCTTACCTGTACCTGAGTCTGCAAGCAGCCTCAGGCAAGCAGCGCTTCTGCCCCGCCTGGCGTGGTTTTCTGGACGACGGACTCGCTGGCAAGGCCACGCTTCTCGTCTTCTTTTGCTGTTGTGTCGGTGTAGTTAGTCCCGATAACATGGCTTTGTTATACTTTCCTCCCGTAGATCATAGCATGGACAGGGAGGATAGTAAAGAAACATGTAGTACCTATTTCTGAAAGTATAGCAGCCCATGTCATAGGATAGTTATCACTTCTCCGTCGGAGGCCCTGGCAAAAGATCCACCTGGCTTGCCGGAGGCCCGAGTCAGACCTGAGACACGCCTCATCGTGCCCAAACCCAAAGCCCTCTGTCACACAAAAAAGCAAAGCTCTAAACTCCTAAGCCCTAAACCCTAAATCCCTGGCCTTTCTGACTCCCATGGGCTGATGAAAAAGGGGCGATAAAAAAAAA